TACTCTCCTTCCTAATCTGGAAGAGTTTCAGTAAAGGGGCTGAGATGAGACCATCTGCAGGCACTGGTCCTGCTGTTTACATAGCTCCTTCCTTAGGAAGGGCCCAGCCCTGCTCACTGCTTATGTCCCTGAGCTCAGGCAGCCTTCAGGAGGCTGGGTGCTTCTCCTCTTGACACCAAGGCCACCAAGGCCCAGCAGGTGCTCAGCACGGGGGAGCCCAAACCTCCCTTGCCTGCCCATGAGCCCAACAGGACAGACAGGCCATAAGGCAGAGCCTGTCCAGGACTCATGGGAAAAGGACTTGCTGAGCTGGTGCTCTCTCTCTCTGAGGATCCAGGTCTTGTATTGAATGGCAGGGAGGGACAGCCGGCCCTGGGCTGTTGGGAAGGCCCTGGGCTCTGACAGCCCCGAGCTGCCTGAGCTGGAGCCTTCAGGGTGCTTGTTTGCTGCTCCTTCCTTCTGCTTGTCAGCTCCTGAGGAAACTGTGCCTTCCTCTGCTTGGGGCGATGAGAGCTGAGTTAAACTGGCTTGCAGAAAGCAGATGGGTGACCAGGTCTTGAAACTATCTTGTTCTTACTGTGGGCCTCTCCTAGACCTGTCGAGACAGGTCTTTCTGATGGGTCTCTCTCTTCTAGTTCTGCTGGGGCTACCAGGTGGAAGGGTGGCGAGGGGCCCAGCACTGGGGTGGGTGTGGCCGTGTGGACTCGGGCACTCGATGATGCCCTATGTTTACTTGTCCTCATCCATGGAGACCTGCTGGGGAGGCTTCTCCTGGGCGACTTTGTTGTCCCTAGAACTGCTGATCCTGGATTGCAGCAGCCTCTGTCCCAGGAGTGGGATCCGATGGGGAGGTGCTTCCTCTATCCCCTCCAGGGCTAACCACTGCCGTGTAGGAGCATGTGCTCTATTCCAGGGACTGTGCTAAGCAAACACTGTATGTGTATCCATTTTCTCATGTAATCCGTATTCCTGTAAGGGGATGGAATTCCCATCCAACAGACATGGAAACTGAGGCACTGAGCAGTCTGTGTGACTCAGAATCCCCCAGCATGAGTTCTAACAGCTAGTGTGCTTAGAGCCTGGGAGGAGTGAATGGTCTAGGTCCTCCTGCCCCCCACCCCCACCCCATACACTTGAGGGATCCTGGATGGGCCTTTATCTCACTCCCTTGGCGGCTGTTCAGCATTAGGCCTCTGGTCTTGACAGTCGTTATCTCATACTGAGAGTAGCTGGGGCTTGGACAGGAGGAAGCAGCCAGTCTTGTGAAGGAGCACTGAAGACTTGTTTTTATGCTGTAGCTAGGGGTGGAGGTGGCAAGGGTTCATTGATTCTCTTTAACTTATTGGGTGCCATGTGTCAATGGGTCAATCTAGGTCTCCAGAGCTGCAGTCTGGGGGGCATCCCTTACCTGGGGAGCGTGAGGGGGCGGAGCAGGTGCTTATTAGCCCTGGAATGCGGACAGACCGGCCCTCCGTCCCCTCCCACCAGAGGCAGCAGACCAGACCAGACCCACTCCTGTCTTAACCCCCTCGGGGTTGCAGCAGACCTGGTGGCGCCCACCCGGTTCTCAGGAATATACCGTTGGCTCAGTGGTTGGGGCCCGGAGAAGACCTCTTCGTCTCCTCCTGGCCTCCCAGCACGAGGTTGTAGCCGCTGCTGCTGCTCTGAGCATCGCTCGGCTCAGACACTGCCGAGGGATTGGGATGGGGCACCTGCTGGTGGTGCATATATGCGGAAGAGGCGCGGAGAGCCAGGGCGTGCGTCCTGTGGGTCTCCGGAGTCCCTCGGGCTGCGTCATGTTTGGGTCGCACCTCAAATGATAGTGTGTCACAGGCACAGGCCGGAGGCTTGGCACCCAGACGGTCTCATGCTCCTCCTCGTAGCCTTCTCTGTTCCTCCAGCTCAGCGGAGCTTCCCGGCATTGAAACTTACCCAGTACATGGGTGGCAGTGGGGCTCCCGGGTCTTCTCCAGCCAGAAATTCCGTGATTGCGTGAGGTTACCTTCGGTTACTCCCCCCGGCAGGGAGCCGGCAAGACAATGGCGCCCTCTGGCGGGAAGCTGCAGAAGGTCCACACCCCTTCGTTGCCAGGGCGTAGCTGAGCGGCCTTTGCCCCTAGTGGGTTGGAGACTTGGCACTAGGCGCCCCCACCCCGCTTAGCCCCAGTTTGGAGAGGAGAACCCCTCCCTCTACACGCTCGTTGGCTGGGAAATGCCAGGGCCTGATTCAGCTGGCCCCGAGAGGCAAACGTTCTGAGTCTAGNACTTGGAATGAACCTGAGGCAGGGGGAGTGAGGTCAGTGGTTTGCTCAGCAAGGAGGCCCAAGATTGTGACAGGCCTGTCACAGCTCCCAAGATTCCCGGCCACGGTTCCTGGCTCCACCTCCTCCCCCTCCTGTTCTTAAGGGAGATAAAAATCAGTGATGTGGATTTATTTACCCAGTGTCCCCTCTGTGTCACCATGGGAGGGCAGAGGAGGTTCTCCCTAGCCTTCCTGTTGGTTTTCGCACACTTTTTCATTGATTACTCACTGTGTGCTCTATGGGGTGTCTGAGTAACTAAAGCCCAGAGTGGTCCAGTAAATTGCCACCCCAGCTACTGAGTGGTGGACTTGAACTTGTCTGCCTCACTACTTGGAGGCGGGTTCTTTCCACTCTGCCATGCAGCCTGGAATGCCAGAAGGACATATAGCTATGTTACTGTCCCAGCTCCCAACGCCACCAGAGCTGCCAAGTCTGTGGTATGGACAGGGGTGGCTTTGTGGTGCTGCTTAAAATTGTTCACCAAAGTCCCCAAGTGCATGTGCAAAAAGTATCTTTGAAGCCTCACTTCTTATCTTACAGTTCATTTGCTTTTTGCATTTGACTCCGTAACCTTGCTTGTTTTAATTTAACAATTAAATTAGCCTTGCTTGTTTTAATTTAAGGCAATGGTTTAAGTTACTTGCTCCTGAGTACATTTGATCCTTAGAAGGTGTTCTGGATTTATCCTGAGGTAGTTTCTGCGCCCCTGGCCTCCATCTGTCCCCTGGGGGTATGGATAGCTCTGTAGGAGATGGGGGGGCAGGGGGAGGCACGCTCAGTATTATGAATAAAGGCACACAGCTGGGAAAGGGAAGAGGGGCCCAGTTTGGTTGGAGAGTCAGGTTGCAGTGAGGGGGCCAGAGGAAGGGGTAAAGGCTAGTTTGGGGCCCTATGCTGAGAAGCTCAAGACCAAGGGTTCCAATCTTACCCCACAGGCAGAGAGAGCGGTTGGTGGCTGAATACTGGGATTCCTCCTTGCTTGGTTCTCATCCATGCACTGCATCGGAGGCCACGAGGTTGCTCATGCTGGGGATCCAGCAAGGGGAAGGAGGTATCTGTCCACAGAGGGCGTGCAGCCTAGTGGGAGAGGTGAGAGTGACGTGTGGACGCACACAAGCAGGTGGGGTTCCAAGACTTCAAACTGCTGGTGTCTGCTTAAAGGGGTGAAGTGGGAGAGCCCAGACCAGGGTGCTGCAGGTGAGCTCGAGAAAGGGCTGAGCACGGATTCGGATGCTAGTCCGAGTTGTTGGCTCCTTGTGACGAAAAGAAAGGGAGAAAAGTAATGGAGAGAGGCCCCATGAAGGAAGATTTGATGCAACTTGATGACCAGTGAAATGTGGGCGCTAGAAGAGGTGCTATATTGGAGAACCGCGAAAGGCAGGCAAGAGAGCCGAGTTAGGAAAATGACCCAGCTGCCCGAGACTGGGAAGCACTGACCTGTTCTGTGGCCACCTTGGGCCGTGTTCATTGGTCAGAACCTGACTGGCAGAGAGTGGATAACTAATACTGTGAAATCCACAAACATCGGGGAAAGACTGCAGCTCATTCCTGAAACAGGCGAACTTTTGAACTTTCTGTCCCAGGTCTCTGTAGGGCAGATGACTCACTTCTGAGCCCCTCCTAGCCTCTGTTGGTGATTAGCAGGGGTGAGAGGCCCAAGGAGCCGCCCTGCTCTGCAACAGACCAAGAGCCTAGAATGCAGGGATGTACTGGATGGATTTGTAAGAGCTGAGAAAATTTCCAGCACATGAACCTTCTGGGTTCCAGGCTGTCTTTTTGTATGTAAATCTGTGCTTTATCCATTGAAGGAACTGTGGGATGGGCCTGGAGAGGGGCCCTAGACTTGACCTTAAAAAGTCTAGAGTCTCTGGGTGACCTGAAGAGGTGGATGAAATCTGACCAATGAAGTGCATCCATGGTGTTCTGGGCCCTATGGGGGAGGGCTGAGCCTGCCGATCCTGGACAGAGGTGAATTATTTACAGTAGAAGAGACTGCTGTCCGGCCAGCCCGGACCTGCTCCTGTGCCTATGGGGGGTTGGAGGTGTACAGAGTAAACCCGGGTAGCTCCTCCCACCTGCTATTGCTTAAGCCCCTGGAGCCCCATCAGATGGGGCAGCCTGATGATCAGTGGGGGGTCCTGGCTGGGCCATCCTGGGTGCAGATGGGGCCTGGCGTGGTTGGGTTTCTGTCTGGTGCTCAGGGTGACCTCTGGAGTTGCCTTTCCCCCTTTATTCTCGGAGTCTCTGGTTACTTGTGCTCTGTGACCTTGGGCACAAGCCAGGCACCCAGTAAAGAAAGCGAACCTGCCCGCACACTTCACGTGTCAGCCCTGCAATGAAGGGCTCCTCAGCAGACAGGAAACCACCCTCCCATGGCCTGTGGGAAGCCCAGGGAAGAAATGGGCCACCTCCCGCCTCTCCTGGCGGCAGATGGGAAGACTCGGCCTTCTCCCCTGGTTTCCTGTGTGTCACCCCAGCCCACACTTCCTTCAGGGCGGTGAGAGTAGAATGACAGTTCCTGTTGAGTGAGGCATGAGTCANACTTTTTAAAAGGAGAAAGAAGTGGTGTCAGAAAGGGCAGTCGCAGGGGGCACTTGATCAGCTCACTGACTTCCTTGGTGACTACTTCCTGTCTGGACATAGAGACGGACCGGAGGAGAGGCAGCCACCCCCAAGTGGCAGTTTTGTTCAGATCAGAGGTTGCCGAGTTAACCACGAGGCTTCCTGATATTTCATATAACTGTGCCATTTGTCCTTGAGAAGTTCAGACCGGAAGTGCCCAGGGCAGCGGTACCCCACAGTGCACAGCACACTGCCGGGCACAAAGCAGGTGCTGTGAATGTGGAGTGATGGGGCTCAATGGTCCTGAGCTATGCTGGCCTGCCCCCCATGCCCACACCAGTGATCCCCCTCCTTGATCCCCAGAGTGAGAAAGCATGCTGTGCAAACACCGCAGACCCTAGCATCCAGTGGAAGTCACCCAAATCTCCCCCTCAGAGCATTGCCTCTATTAGAAGACAGTCCCCGTAGTTCAAAACCCAACTTCCGAACAGGCTTTTGGAATTCTCCATGTGTGTACATTGGGGACTTCCTATGTGATGTTTTCAGCATTATGGCTGGGCACTGCTCTCGCCATCTTTCCTGGCTTTGTTGGAGTGGATTCCCAGAGCCCTAGAGTGTCTCCTCCAATAAAACCCAAATCAGGGTTGAGGTGGATACCTCCCCCTCCCCGTCGATCTCCTGGTGCAACCAGTGCCAAGCCAAGCGGGAGCCCGGGGGCACAGACCACTCATCGAGTTCTTCTCCCATGAGGCTTGCCATCTGCCTGGCTCTCTGCCTCAGCTCTGGGGTTGGTGGGCTTCTTGCAGGCGGACCAGAAGGTCTTCTTTGGGCTCCATTCCTACCTTGTCCTCCTCTGCACCTTGCTGTCCCTACACGTGAGCCCTGCCAGCGAGACTGACAGCCCAGAGGTCTCCCTAGATGCTTTTTGTTTCAGGAAAGTCCGTCGTCTTCCTCCTTTTTTTTCTCTTATGGTTTCCCAGGATGCCTCTGGTTACTCAAGGCCGTGAGGACTATAGCTTCTACCTGCCCCTCCCTGTCCAGGAAGAGGCCAGTTTCCCAGTGCGGAGAGTAGGCAAGGATCTGAGCATCCGGAGAAATCTGTGTCCTCAGGACAATGGCCGAAGCATCCCTCCTTTGTAGATCAGTGACACCATCCCACCAGGGCCTCCCGTCAGGTCAGGTCAGGCCAGCTGCCTGCCAGCACAGGGAATGAGCATGGGGAGCTTGGGGGCACCGAGACAAGACTTGGGGCTCCTGTGCGTATGGTGAGCCTTCCCTAGACCATCCCCTGACTCAGGCGGTACCAGCAGTCAGCCATGACACCAACTGTCAAGTGGCCCCAGAACTTTGTTTGCCCAGAGCTGAGCAGATGGCTTCCAAAACCTGTGAGACCAAGCAGGGTGGTATAGATGCCTCTAGGGAAGTGAAAGTGTCGTTGAGGGTCAGCTGGGGGATGCAGAGGGCAGCTGGCTCTTTCCCTCTCGCATCTGCCCCTTCTTCTCAGAGCTCTGACTATCTCAGATAAGTGGTTCCAGTCTGTGTTCTGCAGTGACATACCCTGCAGATGGCACTTGTGGCAGATAAGCATCGTGCGCTCCCCATCCTTGAGGGCACACCTGGGGTTCTGTGCACGTTTAGCTCTTCCTGTCACTCAGGAAAGCATACTGAAACACACTTCTTTTGTGTTTGTGGGTGGGGCTGATGGTCATGGGGTAACCTTGAGCTTGTTTCAGTCTATTTTCTAAAATTAAAAGCAAATACGTTGCAGATGTCAATACTTTATGATTGTTAGCCAAGGACTGGTGGCGGCACACCTCACGGCTGGCTGATGACACATCGGGCTTGAGCCTCTCCTTGTCCCTCGGCTGTTTGGTGCTTTCCGTGAAGCCCTGACCACCTTCTGTCTCCTGACGATTCTCCTGCCTCCTCTGCCTGTTTCCGAGGGTGCTAAGGAACCACTGATCTGTTTGTGCCCAGGTGCCTCCCTCTTCCAGATAAGAAGGCTGCCTGGTAGTAAGCGAGAGTAGAGGTCAGTGCCTGGGACAGCCCCATCTTGCATCATGCTGTTCAGAGGAGGCCGCTGGCGAATCGCACAGGAGGGAGCCACTCATGCAAGTTGACCTGTACTGCAGCAAGCTAGCTAGAACGTGGAGCTCCAGCCTTCTCTGAATTCTTGAGCTCCCTGTGCCACCATTAGGGGCTCATCAGCAGGTCAGCCCCCTGCCTCAGGCCGAGGGTGAAGGAGAGAGGGAGGGGGGAAGGGAAGAGGGGTGAGAACAAGGGCCTGGTGGTAGTGGTGGAGCAGAGACCATGGTGGAAT